TATACAAAAAACTTACGAGTTTCCATAAGTCATGTATACAAGCTAGATTTTCATAAAAACTGAAACCTACATTTGTCACTATTTGCCCCACCTTATGGGTAAATAGTGACACTCTATGGGACAATTACAAAATACATAATTCTTAATTCCTAATCGATCTTTCTTTTAACAATTTGATTAGATAAGATAATCTATATTAATTTCTATTCTGCCATATGTAAATTTTTATTTATTGATAAATAATAATAGTAACATTATTTGCCAGTATATATTTCATATTAAAAATTACATTTATTCTGGATCTTGCCTTGTAACTAATCTCATATTATCCCAAATGAATTAGAAACATCATATTCAAATATTAAAAAATTTTTGTCATCCAACTAAATTTTTATTTACCCAATTAAAAATTGTCATTATTTGTCCCAGGAGCTACTTTTTTCTTTAAAATTTTACTGAGAGAAATAAAATTAATATACAAGCATAGGAATTATATCAAAATAGAGGAAAAAGATACCGTATGACATAAAATAGGTTAGATCTTATTCAACGATTCAGCAATTAAGAAAATGTAACTTCAAATTTCAAAAAAAGATCCAGGTTTTATCTATAGATTTTACGAATGCAAAATTTTAAACTTCTCCGTTAGTTATTATTTGACTTTTGATTTTTATTACTTTTACAGAAGATGATTAGATGCTTGAGAACTTTTTATTAACGAGTAGTGGTAAAATAGACGTGGGAAAGAGGAGAAATTTTAGCCCTATCTACATAAGTCGCAAACGCACAACGCAAACGCAAACGCGGTAGAAAAAAAGAAAGAAACGTTAAAAAAAAAAGAGAGAACGTCCGTGTTTACGTTTGCATTTTGTCTTTGCCACTTATGTAGATGGGCCTTAAAGTGACACTTATATTTGGCCCCCCTTCCCTTACGATACATCCGGTACGTGTCGCGCTCGCGTAAACGTATCCAGCAAGCACAGATTATAGCAGCAATGTTACAGCAACATTGTAACATTCCAGTTGTATTGCAGAAATGTTACAAAGTAGCTGCAATATTACAGTTTTAATCTGCAGTGTTTGCTGAGTACGTACAGGATCTGCTACCACAAAATCTGGATTAATTTGAATTTCCCATCTCATTTGACTTCGTCCGCGTCGTTAGGTCGTTGTTGATGTTTTGAGTAAGTCAGATGTTTGTAATAAGCGTACATAACTTCAAAATGTCGGAGCAGATAAGATCGAGTGCGGAATATATATATAACCGAAGAGGGGCAATAATCAAAAGCCTTCACGCTGGGCGTTCGCAGACCGAAATTATTCGATTCTTCGCGGATACCCGAGATCGACCGTGTATGATGTTGCGGCTAAATATTTGGCTTCATGCATATATGGTCGGTCTCGGGTACCCGAGGAACCGAATAATTTCGATTTGCGAACGCCCAACGTGAAGGCTTTCGATTATCGCCGCACTTCAGTTATACTCCGCATTCGACCTCATCTGCTCGGATATTTTGATATTATGCATGCTTATTACAAACATCTGGCTTGCCCGAACGTCAACAACGATCTACCGCCGAAGTCGGAATGAGACGGGAAATTCAAATTTAAATTTGTCCGGATTTCGGTGATGGACCCTATTATACGTACCTACTTCGCGCTCGCCTCTTAACCAATGGCTCGCGATATTTCCCTCGCGCCTGCAGTTGCGCATTTCTCGTTTCCGTCAGCCACAGCAAAAATTACGTATATAAATGCGACATCCTTCCCCGAATCGCCGGACGTGCGCCACAACGCGGGCGACGACGGGACCGGAACTCCTCGCAGCGCCGCCGTCTGGTCTCGTCGCGCCGCGTTCCTGCAGCGAGTTCCGTTTTTACGTATGCATTTTATCATCGATCATCCCCGTCGTTCAGTCAGTAAGACAGAATGACAAAGTGATGCGCGCTTGATACACACCGCCGACTGCAGGTTCAGGGTTGCGAGGCAGTAAATAAAATCGGTAATGCCGTAATACATATAGCCGCGGGATTGCATTTTGTGATAAGCCGGGTATTCCAGACAATTATATAATTTGCCGGCAATCATGAGCAATAATATACTATTAAATTACTAATAACAGAGTGATGATGGGGCCAATTTACAACAATAACACGGGAAGGATTCGAATTGAAGGATAAATTGGAATTTCGTGCTATTGATATTATACAAAGGCACACCCCGTGTGAGTTTTATTTGCAGCGTACCGCTTGTGAGGATCGACGAATCAAATTGATTCATCACCCAGTTTGCAATTCAAACATTAGTAAAACATCGGTCGATCGGATTGAAAACGCGGATTGAAATTGCTTTATGAGCGAGCGCCGCGAATGTATTGAAGATAATCGCCCCCTCCCCCCTTGCCCCTGCCTGATTCGACGTACAAATAGACCCTTTTAATCGCGGTCTTATATTTTTCCAATTTATATGCCGATCATAGTAGCGCCCGCAGCGACGTGACGCGCGCTATAACATTTTGGTCTAGAGATGGAATATTGCATGCCGCGCATGATTTAATAAACTACTCGCACGGATTAAGTTAATAATTTCTGGCGACCGTAACTGCGAGTGTCGAATGCGTTTGCAACATTTCGTGCGGACTGCGTTAGAGAGTATAACATCGTATAAATCATTAACGAATTAACGCTGCGCCAGGTAAATTTCCGAAATTTTCGCGAAGAACAAGTTTATTATATGTACTGTAGCTTACCGTAGCTGAAGTTTAATAATTGAAAATATTATTAATCAATATGTGTAGCCTCGACCGAATTTGCGTTTTCTCTTATTTATTTGTTGTATATGTAAAACGGCCTTATTGAAATTATTGTTATTTACACTCTCATCTCAATACATTCATCCCTATAAATATTATCACTATCTCAGTGGTCGAATTGTTGATAAGACGCCCTAGATAGATTCAATTATTGGAAGGATAGAATCGGGAGGTTCCAGGTTCGAATCTTGAGATAATAGTTTTTGCAATAAATTCTTTACAATATTTTAACATACTTGCAGCACCATCATCGAATTGAAGATCAATTTAATATATGATATCAGTTCAGCTTTAAGTTATGAGTTGCGTTCTAAAAAAAACCGACAATAAACTGCGGAGTGCAGTTTGCTGTAGTTAAAATTGAAAGTTTAAAAATACATATTATTAGGCATCAATATATTTGACCTCGAATTTTGCGTTTTCTCTTATTTATTTGTTATTATATTTTTTTGTGAAAAGAAAACGAACGTTTTCTTGTAGGTATATAATCCATTGTTAATCGATCTTTTTAAATAAAAGGATTTCAGTTATCGCTCGATATTGCAGATGCAATCCATGCATTTTGAACATGGAAAAGTAAAGTGAATTCCTAGAAGATAGATTTAATTTTGGCCCTCTTCTTGCATTCGACACAAGTGACACAAGTGTATCTGATAGCGGCGCTACCAGGAAATATACAACATCATATCGATACTCGCGGATGTCGAATGTTCTTTGAATATCCATCGTGATTTATATTTGCAAACGTATCGGCATTTTGAGTCACATCCAGCTGCGTGTTACTTCCGTATGCATTGGCCGTCACGTGATACCAAGGAAAGATTAAATAGCGGGAGAAGAGGAAGAGCTGACGTTTCTATATGATAGTAGCCTCGAAATTGCAAATAGTATATACTTTATCGAATGCCGCCGTGAAGTAACATTGCATGAAAATATGAAGATATGACTATGACAATTATATTAAAGTACGTTCAATCTACACTAAAAAACACACACACAATGAAAACGTGATGCGCTAAGGAGTTATATTTCGGCGTTAATGGCTAATATTCGGATAACTTCAACGGAAGTTTTGTTGTGTCGAGAGCAAATCCGGAATATTAATTCGCATTCGACAGAAGATTAAGGTCACGCTCACCGGGATTAGGGCCAATCAATATCGTAACGATCACGAACTTCCGTCAGCGGCGTCGTTGTCGGGGAGGTTGTCAGAAGCGTTGTGCGCCGAAGGGGCTCCGCGTGTCTGGACGCGGTGCGATCGGCCCGTCAATCAGCCGAAACCGATCGTCGTCAGTGTTCGAATTTAGGTCATTGCTAAGCTCCGCGCGAGCGTGGGCTTGCGCGCGGGATTGAACTTTGTAAGCCGTTTCATAAGCTGGGAAAAATAAACAACGACGGCTCTTTCGCGCGTCGGAAGCGAAGCGGATCGGAAGCCGTTCTCTCTCTCTCTCTCTCTCTCTCTCTCTCTCTCTTTGTCTTAAAGAAAACACTATCGCAATCCTAATAAGGGCCGTACCCTCGCGCTCCCCGTGTCCCCCCCCCCCGGGAGAGTAACCTGTTGCAGCGGCTCTATTAATAGTTCGGGTCCCGATAAAAATCCGATCCGACCTCGTTACGTTACCTGGTTCACCCCGACGATCTTTCCTATATCACGCGTGTCTCGCAATACATCGACGGGCAAACGATTAATTTGCGAATGATTAAATTGCGCAACACTTTATGCGGTGGGTATCAAGCTGCGTGCGGAATCGTTGATTAAAAAAAAAAAACCAGTGTAATCGTGACGATTTTACGGCAAAGTAAAAACACGTTGATAAACACGTGCGGTAAAGTGCAATCGTACGTAACTAGAGTACGTCACATGTAGTTTATGATGGTATCGTTGTTTCACGTTCTTTTTACACCGGCGTTCCCCGATTTACACGACGTGGCTCCATTCCGCGAGAATAATTTCGGCACGGTCGGGTAAAACCGGGTTGTGATGTGCAACACGGTAAATTGGATCACAGCTCGGAACACAGCTACAAATCTATCAGGACTAGTCGGCCCAATTAACTTGAACAGTGAAGATCCCTTAAAAAATTACTGAGGTTTCTCCGCGCCGTTCGTGTAAGTGGCAGCTATCAATTGGGACGTCGTCTCGTTTTATTTCCCATTGAAAACTTTAGAAAGATCTTCGGCGACTTACCAGTTTCAGCCAGAGATTCGTGATGAGCAACTGGTTCTTCTCGTCCTGCAACAATGAATTAAATGTCAGTATCATATTAAAAGCTGTTCGCAACTATTAATTAAAATAATTCAGTAATAGATAATTGTCCTTATTATAAATAATTATTTAATATTTACGGAATAATATAATAAAATGTAATAGTACAGTTTTATATTAATAAACAGATTGTACAAGACTCCACACAATTCCAAAACAACCGCAGATAAAATAATTAATGAATAAAATTGTAAAAATGACTCTAGGACACTTTGTATATTATGCATAATTGCATAAATATTGAAAAAAAAAAACAAATTTTTAACACTGCGAGTTAATATTATAAATATGTAAGACTTTTCTATTTTAAAAGTCTGTACACAAGCTTGAATATTGTTTGAAATTCGTCCGAAAAACGAATTAACGCGCTAGAAGCGGCCTCGTAACTCATTATGCAGTTTCATATCACAATTAAAAATTGCTGTAGAAAAGCGCATGTGTATTTAACAAGGTTCGCGAAGACAAAAGACCTTCATTGCTCAGAATGTCCGCAAGTTGCATAATAATGGTATACAAAGTGCGTTATTTAATCAATTGGACGTTGTTGGCAAAAGTAAATTATTTGCGCATATTTTCGTGACTATTACAAATTTAGTATAATAAATTTTTGAGAACGAGCTTTTTTCACGGACGATGCGGTGCTAAAGAACGCATACCGAAAGATGGCCGAGCAAAGTCATAAATTACGAGAAATTTTTCTGCCCATAAATTTATATTATATTAAAGGAGGAAATAAAAGGAGAAAGGTAGAGGGAGAAATCTTTAAAAGAATATTACAAACGATTCGCCGCTTTCGTCAAATATTATACAACAGAATAAAAGCGCTTGTTTAACAAGATACTTAATGTAGTGCTTATTTTATATATCATATAATATTTTATTGTACAATTTGTAAACATTAGCGCTATTAGTAACTAATACAATTTATTTTTATTAAAATCTTGCTTTCACAGAAACTTGGAATATCTTTTCTCGAGGACTTTTTCAAATGCACGTCACGATGTAGTGTATTGTATATAAATAATTAATACTACAATCCAAGCTGAATTCTAGAACATTCGTTGGCCTTTATCAGGTCTGGTATACCAATTAAAGTTGTCAATTCTTATGAAAAAACGTAGATTGTTGTAACTCATTTGTTCCTGAAAACTGAATGGGAAATTGATTACGTCAGGACCAGTTAAAAAGAATGACCAATCAACGCGAATTCGAAAAATTTGATACGCTTTTGAAAACACAAACAAAAAGGATCTCCATTAATACGTGCGCACAGATATGTGCTATAATTACTTTTCTCATGTTACAATATACGAGTACAATGTGTGTGAAATCGTCTCAGTCAGCAGAATTTGCTTTATATTAAATATTGACAGTAAAAATTTGTCTGAAACATATTTTCTAAAAATCTAGAAAATTCTAATAAATCAGAATCAGAAAAAAAATTATATAATTATAGACATTAATGCATACATTAAAGATTTCTAGTTTGAAGAATCCGTAATTTGTGGCAAACAATTTACCATATATTAAAGTTAATTTATAAAATGATAATGTAATTAACATTGAGATACTTCGTCTCAAAGAACTCTTGCGAGCTTTATAATTTATTAACATACATTTTTTTTGTTTAGCTTTCAGCATCTCTTTAGCATTTTCGTACTTAAAGAGATTGTAAGATTATAAAGGGAGATATAAAAAAAGTAGAAGTTCGCCATGAATAAGAAACAGAGAATAGCATACAAGAATTTATGAAAAATAAAGAATATAAAAATTTTGAGGAAATGCAGAAAACAAGTAGTATAGCGGCACAGTTCTCTTCTCGGGAGAAGCCTTGTTTTACATCGTGTCCGCATGTCAAGAGAAATATCCCGAAGACAAATATCGCGCATATGCGACAAGTGAGTGCATGCAACGATGCGCTCGTGACTTCCTGACATACAATACGGAAACTGCCCCCGATATAACGTTTTAGTTTCGTTATATTGCTACCATTTTTATTATATACTTATATGTATACCGCCGCGCGTACGAAATTTCCGGCTCTCGTTCCGGCTTCGCTTCGTGCATTATCAGTCTCGTCACGTAAGGCATCGGCATTCGAGTTTCCCATGCTTAAACCGCGTTCTTATCCTGATTACGAGCAGCGTCTTAGGAATGTTTACTTCCGCGCTGCATGGAAGCCGCATTCCCGTGTCCCGTGGGAGACCCGCATCCACGAAGATGAACATCGATATATCCTCGAAAGGTACGGCAATACATGGATATTGATCCTTGTAGCGCACGGAGGAGAAGCGGGAATAACGAAATATTGTATAACTTCGTACTACGAGAGATAACTGGTATACTGTAGTAATGAAAGGTGAATCTTGAAACAGTAAAACTTAATCAATAAATATAAACTTACCGAAATTCTAAATTCTTTATCTTTGGGAGTTGTGAACGATTTTGTATTATGACAAAATATTTTTCTGCATTATAACGTATATTATAATACACATCACCAAAAAGTATCTTAATGATCAATAATAATTTTTCTTGTCTACAGTATATAATATGTTTATAAATGTATCCCCTTCATTTAATTTCTTTCGAAACCTGTTACGAGAGATACGGCAGGCTATTTATGCTCATCGATAGCGATCTTTTAATTATTTCCGAGTCTCGGTGGCTCGACGATGTTCTAAATCGGTCGTATATCAACGGAGTTAACAATCGGCTTTCCTTCTCCCGCGGCGTATATCGGACGTTTTTTGAGTCCTGATCAATTCCATGGAGAAAAGTGAGCTTCGAGTTTCTCTCGTCGGCTTATCCTTTCGTTCGTCCGCGAGATAAACTGTTTCTCGATAATTGGATCTTATCGTTTAACCTCGCCCCTATTCAAAAACCAAGCTCCATCTAAGGTCGAGGTTAATCCACGCAGTCATTACTTTGGCCGCATTCCCGTGCATAATTTAACGTCTCGCTGAAACTTTTCATTGTCGGCCGTTCCCCGAGCGCTCGCTATGATCCGGTCGGCTAATGGGACCGTGGATGCGCGCGATCACAGCCGCATCTCATCTTCTAACATTGTCGCTAGTTTGACTGCAGCGGAATAGGATTGCGGAATTATACAGGACTATAAAATTTTTATACTTTATATAGCAGTGTAGCGACAATGTTCTTTACGCATTTCAAATCGATGTCTCGTCAGCATATATTTGATGAAAGTATGTCGTTGCTTGACATTCCTTGATTTTGAAATGTACATATACGCATGGTCTGTTCCAAAAGTAATGAGACTAATTTTGGTATCCCAATCAGAATTGTCGGAGAGTGAATCTATTAGACGGGACCTTTATACGGAATGTCAGATGTACAGTCTGACCCTTTCCAGTTGCTTCCGAGCCTTTCCAGCAGTCGATACCGTCAATAAAGTGCGTTGGAATTTTTTGTGTCTTGTCACGGGTAAAAATTCAGCAGTCTCGAATATCGATAAAATTCTGCGCAAAACTGAAAAAATTTGGTTTCAAAACGTTGGAGATGTTGAGAACAGCTTATGGAAATTCTGCTTTCTCCTTAGAATTTGATCATAACGTTGCTGAAAATACAACACACAGTCTGTGTCGAATTTTTGCCCGTGACAAGACACAAAAATTACAAACGTATTTTGCTGACAATATCGACTGCTAGAAAGGAGCAGAGGCAATTGAGAAGGGTCAGATTGTACACCTGATCATGTGACATCCTGTACCAAAGGCTTTGACCATGGATCCACACCCTACAATTTTGATTGAGCCTCCAAAAGTATATAGTCTAATTACTTCTGGGACAGACCATGTATATATATATATACACAAATACACTGTTAAATCTATTGTGTCAAATTGAACCTTATTTAAGTCGCCACTGCTCCTACTTAATAAATAATTATTTTTAACTAAAACAATCTAGTTACTTTTAAATAAAACAATAGAATTTAAGCCAAATTTGGATTAAATTTGAACTGTTTTAAATTATTTAACTCCATTGTTTTAGTAAAAAATAACTATTTATTAAATAGGAGCAGTAGCGACTTAAATAATGTTCTTTAACAGTGTACGTACATGCATATATACATATCAGAGAGTACGACTCAAGGTTTTCCGAAGCTTTAATTAAATTGAGTCAAATCGATTCGGATTTAATTAAATCATTGAAACATAACTTTTAATTAATAACATTATCGTTAAATTGAATTTTAATAGATAATAAAAAAATTTTCATGTAAAAAAAGGTAATATTAATTATATGATATAATGTTTTACTTATTAGTGGAAAATATAATTTTAAAAGATTGTCAATATATGTATGTAATTCATATTGAAATCTCTTAAATTAGAAATTTTTAAATAGTTCGAATGTGAATCATGGAGATTCCAATCAATTCGAATAAAGTGAGATTTCAATTATGTTCCAATAATGCACACCTCTCTAATAAACATAATACATATCGTGGCGATCATGGCGCAAAGAACTGCGTGTCTTCTTTCTGTGCTAAAGAGTTCAAATCCACCCAGAACAATATAAACTCTAAATCGGTTTTAAATCGATTATGGAAGCGATCGCCACCTCTTGGAAGGCAAAGGCAAACCATCGAGAGTAAATTGCCCAGGAAAGTTTCTTCTAATAGGCCGTTCGGAACTGGCGTTAAAAACTGTAGGTCTCATATCTGCGGATTTATGTAGAAAAGATCGTCTACACGGTGATAAGCGTATGGCACGCGAAAAAAAGAATTGTTACTTAATTTGAAAATTTAATAAATCATTATAGTCATATGAAAGATATAAAGATTTATTAATCTTAAAATTAAGTAGAATAATTCTTTTTTCAATAATTCACATTCGAACTATTTAAATATAATATATATATTAAATATATTATATTTAAAATTAAGTCAGAATTCTTTTTTTCATTACTGAGGTCTATAGTTAACTTTTAGGGAATATTCCTATATTGAGAAGAAAATTGATTGTACGAAC